GGTCTTGGCATACTTGCCAAGATCATTTGACTACATGTACAAGGGTTTATTTCTGACTTCTCTATTCTTTTCCATCGGTTCCCATGCCTTCCTTTATGCCAGTACCATGCTACTGTGATTACTGTAGCTTTGTGATCATGAGCTCATTCTGTTAGACCCCCTCAAGCATTTTAGGTGGAGTGGATCAGAAGATGGACCTGAGATCAGACAAGCAGAGCCAGAGGACACAAATAAACTGCATCAGCAGGTGGGCTAGACCCCCATGACATTCACCACCGTTGCACTAGCCCCTGTCCCTGAGCCAACACTTAAGACTACATTGAACAGGGCTGAAGTGAGGAGGGGTTCCCTAAAATCAGCTGACAGAGGTAGAAAAAGTCTGGGCAGTATTTTTACTCATTTAACTCTTCATTACAGAAATTTGAAGCATATACAAAAGTAAAATAATATGATGAAGTCCCCACCCCAATGACCATCCCCTAGCTTCACTACTTGTCAACTTGTGTCCAAGCTTGTTTCACTGATGCCCCTGTGGTGGGCAGAACAATGGTCCCCCCAAAGATGTCCACGTCCTGAACCCCGGAAACCTGTGACGGTGTTCTGCTACATGGCAAAAGGGAATTAGGTTGCAGAAGGAATTAAGGTTTCTCAACAGCTGGTTTTAGGATAGGGAGCTATTCCTGGATATTCCAAGTGGTCCCCGAATAGTCACAAGGGTCCTTATAAGTGAAAGATGATGGCAGGCGTCAGTCACAGGAAGATGTGACTAGAACAGAAAGGCATATCGGAGGAAACAATGCCTGCCATGAAGAGGGAAGAAGCAGCCAGGACCCCAGGAGTGTGGGCGGCTTCTAGAGGCTTTCTAGAGAAGGACAATGAAGTGGATTCTCCCCTAGAGCCTCCAGGAAGGAACTCAACCCTGCTGACGCCTTGCTTTCAGCCCAGTGAGACCCATAATGAACTTCTGCCCTCCAGAGTGTAAGATAATAAGTTAGTCTTACTTAAAGTGCTGAATTTGTGGCAACTTGTTAAAGCCGCAATAGACAACAATGTAATGCCTCTCCGCGGGATCACTGGGAAGCTCATCCATATAATCTTATTTCATCCCTAAATACTTCAGTGTGCATTTCCTTAAAGATAAGGGTTTTTTTGTTTCGGTTTTTTTTTTAAGATTTTATTTATTTATTTGACAGAGAGACACAGCGAGAGAGGGAACACAAGCAGGGGGAGTGGGAGAGGGAGAAGCAGGCTTCCTGCTGAGCAGGGAGCCGGATGTGGGGCCTGATCCCAGGACCCTGGGATCATGACCTGAGCTGAAGGCAGCCTAACGACTCAGCCACCCAGGCGCCCCAAAGATAAGGGTTCTTTATAACATGACCACAATGCCATTATCACCCATAAAGAATTAATGTAATTTCTTTTTTTTATTCTTATGTTAATCCCCATACATTACATCATTAGTTTTAGATGAAGTGTTCCATGATTCATTGTTTGTGCATAACACCCAGTGCTCCATGC